TCCCAGCGTGAGTTTAAGCCACCGGGTCCGGGACTTGAACCACGGTCAACTACATGGGAGTCCAGCGACATAGCTATTATGCTAACTGCTGGTCCTGAAATCCACATATTTCCAAATCCTATTTTACAACCACAAAAGGACAAAAACATTTTTTAAGTTTTTGCTGTAGAGCATGTACGCTCACCAGAGAGAGACATTGGGGGAGGAGTGATAATCCTTCCACGGAATTGGCCACACCACAATCTCGTCTCCTCCAGTCTCCTCATGGGATCTAGAGCATGCACACATACACACACACTCGGCGTGATCCTGAAGCTGCCAGTTCCACAATTCAAACTGTGCAGTCAGCCATGTGGAATCCAGTCCCTTAACCTCCATGCCGTCTGCTGGCCCAAACAAAAATAATTTTAGGGGCCATCAGGTGGCATGGTGGTTAAGGGTGCTGAACCATGTGGCCAACCATGGCTCAAGTCCCAGACCTGGCAGCTTGCTTTCTCATTTTCTCTCTCTCTCTCTCTCTATCCCTCTCTGGTCAAATTAAGATAAATGGATTAAATAAATGGATAAATAAAGTTAAATAAAATAATTCTTTAAAAAATAATATTAATGAGAGACCAGCAGTTAGCATAATGGCTGTGTCACTGAACTCCCATGTAGTCGACCGTGGTTCGAGTCCTGGACCCAGTGGCTTAAACTCATGCCGGGCACATGTGCGTGCGTGCCCAAGATACCCCCGGGGGGGTGATTTCTCACTTTCTATCTCTCTGTCTCTCTCTGTCTTTCTGGCAAGTGCACGCACCCTATAGCAAAAACCTCTAAAAAAAATAATATTAATGATAGATAAATAGATAATTCTTAAAAAATAAACAGTTCTAGAACTGGCCCCGTAGTGCATTGGTTAAGTGAGCAGGATCCCACATGGCTGACTGCAGTTTAAACGTGGCCCAGGGCCAGCCAGTGGCATGATGGTTTCGGTGGCTGGATTTGAGTAGCTGACTATGCAGTTTGAGTCCTGGACCCAGCGGTTTGCAAAACACCCCAGCATGTGTGCAGGCATGTCACCTTTATACTAGATTGGATAGAGGTGACACACTAAAAATACACACACACACAGTTGAAATTGAGTTCTTTGAATGTATTTCCACAGACTCAATTGCAAAAGTGCATGGTACCACAGTTCCATAGGAACCCCTGGAAGGGTATCCCCCTAGATTGGGCATTCACCCTTCACCCTCAATCCTGAAAGGAAAAATGTAGAAGGGACTGCAGCGTGACCATCCCCTATGCTAGGGTGTTATTGAAACAGAGCAAGAACCCCCTAATGTATTTTCTAGGGTTCCTGAAATATAAAGTCCATTTGCATTGTAATGGCCCAGAGTAAGGAGTAAGTCTTCAGACTTTGGTTATGATAATGACCAACATGGACCATGAGTGAGGGCCATTTGACCTGTAAAACTCTCACTTACAGGAAAAAAGGTTTTCATTTCAATATGTAAGATGTTTTGTAGACTGGAAACTGCTGGTTGTGAGCTCAGAGACTCCAGGTTGAATGGTTCCAGACACCTGAAGAGGAATTTGATTATCTAAGGCCTCACCAATCAAGAATGCCCACGAGAAGATCAGGTCCTCTTGAAACAATCATTGAACTGATCATTCGCCTGGGACCTCTGCCTCTAATTTTGCCCTTAAAAATGCATGTGGGGAACATCTCGGGGAGACCGGGTCTTTTCAGCATGAACTGCCCTCTCTCCTTGCTTTGCGCTTTGCAATAAAGCTGTACTTTCCTTCATCACACCATGTGCCTGTGGCTTGGTTTTATAGCGCTTGGGCGAGCAAACCTGATTTGAGTTCGGTAACATTATCTCACTTTCTTTCTCTCTCTTTGGCATTTTGCACATGCCCTCTAGCAAAACAAACAATAAAAACAACCAAAACAAAACCAAACCAAAACAAAATAAACAAACAAAGCTGTGGCCCAGCAGCTTGAAAAACATGCTACATGCATGTGTGTGCATGCCCCAAATCCCAACAGAATGGAGAAATGGAGGAAAAAGGGATTTCAATGTGACAATGCTCCACTGGGGAGTGCTTTCTCCCTCTCTCTTCTGTCTGGGAGGCTGGACAGACAGTCATGTCATGGCAAAACCCTATTGAGGAGCCTCTCTTGAAAAAAAGTCCAGAGGGAAGGAGGGAGAGAGGGAGGAAGAAAGACCAAACTTAAACAAATAAATAAAAACAAGTGAAACACTTAACAAGCCCAGAATCAACATGAACCTATCTGAGGCTGAGAAACAGCAAAGCTGAGACCTACTGGGCTTCTCATCAAGTTTTACACAGTAACAGGGACCAAAAACTTCTGAAGAAAGGGAGCGGAGGAATTCAGGCTCACTGATGAAACTGGGGGTTGCTTGGTTTGTGAAAAAGGCAGAAAAGAGCTGCCATGACTATTCCACAGCCATGGTCTAGGGAGGGGGAGAAAGCTGAACAGCTCCATATCCAGGCCCCAGCCAAACCACCCACTAGCTCAGAGACTGGGTCTGTGATAACTAACAGCACAGCTACACAGGCCCATGGCAGCAGTTTAAGACCCGATTCCGGTTAGAAAGTCCTTTGAGGGGAAATGGGGACAACAAACATAGTTAACAGAAAAAGGGCGTGATCTTGATTAGAATGTCTGCCTATCACAATTCTAAAATGCATGTTAAAACTCACTCAGAATATGGTGACCCAAAAAGGGGAGGCAATAACTTCATTCTAGATGAAATGAACATCACAAAATGATCTAAAACTAAACTTCAAATAGGCAGGTTTATTCTCTGGGTTAAAGAAAAAAGGAAAGGACAAAGAATTTAAAAAGCGAGCAGAAATAATTTTTTAAAAATAGATATAGAAAAATATCAATTAGAAAACTGGAAATTAAAAAAAAAAAAGCCTTCATTATTATAAGCACTTAATAGACCAAATATACTCCAGACTGGTCTTAGTTTAAATAAAAAATTAGGGGCCATCTGGTAGCATGATGGTTAAGGCAGCTGGCTCCCACATGGCCAACTGCTCAGTTTGAGTTCTGGGCCCAGTGGCAGTGACTTGATAAACACGAGGTACATGTGCTTGAATACCCAAAATCCCAAGAGGGGAATAGAGGAGAAGGGAATGTGACATGCTATCCCTCCAGGGGTGCTTTCTTATTCCCCCTCCCACATACCCCATCTCTCTCTAAAGAGTCCAAGCACTCTACAGCAAATCTAAGGGGAAAAAAAAAAAAAGAACTAACAGAAGAAAAGACAGTTTGGTTACAAAGGAATAATATTTAGACTTATAGCAGATTTTTATTTCCTTTCTTAAAGAAACATTTTATTTCCTTTATTACTATTATTTATTGTTATTATATTTAATTTGACCAGAGAGAGACACGAAGAGAGAGAGGGAAAGTGAGAAAGCAAGCTGCCAGGTCTGGGACTCAAACTGCAGTCAGCCATGTGGGAGTGCAGTGCCCCAACCACCACACCACCTGCTAGGCCCTATAGCAGATTTTCAGTCAGCAACATTAGGTGTTAGAACACATTGAATAATATCCCAAAGTATTGTGAAAAATCATGGAAGCATTTCCACTTAATGTCTTCCAAGAATCCAGGGTCTTTTATTAGATTGGATAGAGGGAGGACACACACACACACATTTAAAACTGAGCTCTTTGAATGTTTTCCACAAAATTAATTGCAAAAGTGCATGGTACCACAGTTCCATGGGAACCTACAGAAAGGTATTCCCTTAGCTTGGGTATCCACCTTTCAAACCTCCCCAAGTAAGGAGAAAAGAAATAAGAACAGTGAGGCATTTGAAATTACCTAGGCCTTGAGATATTTGCAGACTTGGAATATTAGCAATGCTTACTATGGTTTCATGACTTTCAGGGAGTTTTGAAGAAATTCTCATGGAATGGCTGGAGCTTTTTGGCTTGTACACTAATTTACATATTCTGGCTGTGACTAGAAAGATTGTAGTCATAGAAACTTAATTTGACTGATACTAAAAGACCATTAACCACTTTTAAGTCCTTGAGAAGAAAATAAAAGGGTAAGAAAGAGGACATTTGGGTTAAAAAAGGCTTCTGAGAGGTTAAGTGTATGGAATCACAATTATGTCTCCTGGCACACCTGTCTGAAGTAATTGCTCAAGGACATTTTTTTAAAAATCCCCTGGCCAGCTGGCATTCAGGTAAAAACCTTGAGTTACTATATACTTGCATACGATTGGCTGTAAGCCCACCTTGGCCTCTAGCTATGTTACTGGAATGTGTGATATATGAAATGCAAAACGCCAAGCAGCAGACGCGGTTACCCAGCCAGACTCAAACATCACAAACAGAAGTTCCAGACCAGGACCGGGCCATAGGTACCAAGATCCCAGGACGAGAACACAGGAGAAAGGATTGCGGTGTGGCCACCCCTCCTGGGGGGATGATTTCTTGCTTTCTGTCTCTCTGTTTCTCCGCCTAGCGGACACACCCTATAGCAAAAGTCTCTCAAAAACAAAAAAGAGAAACTTATGTGTTCTTCTAAACCGATGCTGTGGGTTCTTAGGAGGAAATTAACTTCGGTAATTCTACTCTCCAGTATTCCCTATAAAAGAAAACCGCAATCTTTGCCATTTCGGAGCATTGATTACAGTCTTCGGGAGTCTGCTCTCAGAGTATCCGATCCTCATCCTTTAGCTTGAATAAACCTTTTTGCTTGCTTGACAACCTGGGGCAGTCTTCTTTATTTTGGGTTGACAGTATATTAAAACAATACGCCCAGAGATTTCTTTTTCCCTAGCTCTTTGGCAGTAACCACACTGCGCCGGCCCATAAGCCTTACAAAACGTTGTGCAGCCTTCAGTTTATTTCTATTTCTTTAAGACAAAGGTCCGAGGTTTGCCCCATTCCAAAATGGCTACCTATGCTTCACAAGCTTTGCGCATGCTCCCTGAGCGCAATTCGGGGTAAGGCAACTCAGGAACTCAGTGCGCAAGATGGAAGCAACGCCGGCGGCAAGACTCTATCTCCCAGCATGCCTTGCTGCCCGTCTGGAGTCGGGACTTCGAGTGATGGAGACCCTCCAGTGCTTTAGGCCGCCAAGTCTCTTGTAGAGGTTGAGGCGGATCCGGGGCTTGGGAATTGGACGCAATCGAGGGAGGAAGATGGAAGCGTGGCGCTGTGTGAGGAGGGGCTACGGCCGCTGTGTGGTGGGACGAGGCCGGTCAGTAGGGCTGGGCTGCTGGAGGGAAGAGGAGGGGCGGGCGGTTCGGATTAGCCCGGGGCGGGGCGGACTGGGGGGCGGAAGGAGGAGGAAGAGGGTCTGGGCGATGGGGCGGCCGCGACGATCCTCCGGAGACCCCGAGGGATAGGTAAACCCGGCGCGCAGCCGGCTGGACCCGGGGCCAGGCGGGGAGCTCAGCAGCCCCCGACCAGGCTTGTGCCTCCTCGTCCTTGGCCTTAGATTCCCGACACACTTCCCCCGACGCGATCTCCGAGCCGGCCTCGGCCTCTGCCGCGGACGCCGCAGCACGGTTCCCGGAGCTGACGTCCGCGGGGAGGCCGCCTGTCGGCTGCAGGTCCCGGGCGGCCTAACCCCGAGGGAGGCGCGAGGAGGCGCGTACTGCACCCACGCCCGGGGTTTGCTGTTGGCTCCTGCGTTAGTGTCTCTCAAACTGTAGTCACTTGTCTCCCAGCGTTTACGATGATTGCCCAGTACTCATTCTACCTGTCCTGTTGACTGGAGATTGTAATTGAAATTGACTGAAAAAGAGCACTTATGTAGATGCTGTTGACATTAGTATCACCCTATGCGTTGTCCACGAAATCTTGGATTTGATATATTGGTTATTTTTTTTCCCTAATAAACTTAAAAACAAATACTTAGATAATATAAATAAAAAAATTTAATTGTGTACAGTATTGGAACCAACAAGTGTACCACGCGTGGGAGGCGCAACATTGTATTAATATTACATCAGTCGTGGGGATCTGATTTTAACTCCTGTAAGCCTGGGACTTGGTAGCAATTCAGTTCAGCGAAGTTCCGTGAGGACCAGCCAGGCATTGTGCTGGGTGCTTGTGAAGAGATGGGAGTTAAATAAGACTCTGGCCCTGGCAGAGTTTGACATCTTACCAGAGAAAGAAATCTATATAAATAACTAGAAATACTGAACGTAAGTGTTGTCATTGCAAGTATTACGTTTCAGTTTGGTAGTTTATTAGAACAGAAAATACATGAAAAGTGCCCAAATTCCTGTGTCTTTCAGAGTCTTTGGAAATCATAATAGAGTCCTTATATCATGCCTTTACAGATATACAATGAAGTCAATTTTAGAGAGCAATTTGAGACTACGTAAACTACAAAAATATATAGGAAAAAACTAAATACTGTTTAAATGAAAAAACAAAAATTTCAAATGATAATAAATGGAATGTAAGCAGAATTCCCTTCATGATGAAAGTGAACATCACTGACATTGTCTTAGAAATACACCTGCAAGGGTACTTCAGACAGTTTGGGGGGGGAGGATTTGTTTTGGTGCAAAAGTGCACCATGCATTTTCCATGAATTTTTGAAGACCTCCCTTCATATAATGAATTATGGAAGGAAGGATAGAAATTCACTGAATCCTAACATTTTTCCAAAATAGTATAATGCCTAAGTTGCAATGTTTCTTGAGATCCTGAGAGCAAATAACTATTAAAATTGTTGACACTACTTTAGGGATATTTTGAATGATAAGTTAAATGGATCCTGTTGGACAGGGATCAGATATTAGATGACAGATTAAATGAATGATGTTGGTAAATTCCTAGTAAGCAATCTCTAGGCTGTTTGATTTTTCTCCAGGAACAAACATAATTTTTAAGAAATGAAAAAAATGAATAACCCACTCACTATATAGCAAGGAAAATAGTTTCGTTGTGATAAGCTTTTGTTTCTTGGCTTTACAAGTGTTTGGAAAATATCTAACCTTGCCTTGGCATAAAAAACGGCTGAGATTGGAGGTGAGATTCACTTTAATTGTGTAGTCTGATCTGTGTTCCCCATTTGACTTACATATTACGTTTGCTGTGGATTTTCTTTTGAGTTTTATTAGATGCTAGAAAGCTACTTTGAATAGCAGTTTGATGGTTAATTCATCTGTTAGTCAAATTGTAGATTTTTTGAAGGGTATGTGGTGTTTTGGGAGCCTGGGTGGTATTCTAAGTATTAAGATTAACTTTTGTGGTTATTTAGGGAGAGAGTGTTGAGATATTGATGCTAACAGTAAAATCATGGGTGCTTTTTCCCTCATCCTCCACATATTTGGAAATCAGATTTTAAGTATCAGACATTATCTACCCTTGAGGAAATAGGTGTACTGTTGCTAAACAAAAAGTGGTGCCTCAGGAGTGTATTTCTTTCTTTTAGATACCCCATGTTTACCTATTACCCGAGGAGTCTGGGCAGAGACTGGACTACACCGTGGGACAATCTGCAGAGGTGTTGCTGGAACAGACATATTTCTAGTTGTATGAGGTGGCCTGGACATTATTCTCGTGCTCCGTACCCATACTTCAGTAGTAGACAGTTTTCTCTAAATTGGAGACCACCGTGTTTGTTTGAGTCTAGAGCTCAGTTTCAGTACTATAACTGGAGACCCGACAACCTGGGCCAGACATCTTTGATTCATCTCTCTAGTTACGTCATGAACTCTGAGGGAGATGAGCCGTCATCAAAACGAAGAAAACACCAAGGTAAAGGGGATGTTCAGCTTGGTGTAGACATAGATATAAGTGATGGACGAAAGCAAGCTATCATATTTAGTCCTTAAAACATCCTGTTTTTTAGAGGTGCTTGATGTTTAACCTTAGACAGTAGTTTTCTGCCAGAAAAAAAAAAATTAGTTCTTTTTAAAATGAAATCTTTATTTTTATCTCAATTCATGGTTTCTGTCTTTAAAAATAGAAGTGAATAAGGTTACAAAAAAATGGAGAAATAGATTAAAACAATACATCTAATTTAAACATACTGGGTTGTAGGAAAAGTCATGACATTTTTCTATGATTTTTCTACGCAAATATGCATCATGACTTTTTTGACAACTCAATTTTCAAATCTGATATTTTGTTAGAATTATTTTATTTAACTTTTATTTATTATTATTATTATTATTTTCCAGTTTGATCAGAGAGAGAGAGAGAGAGGAAGTGCGAAAGCAAGCCACCAGGTCCGAGACTTGAACCGTGGTTGGCCATGTGGGAGTCCAACGCCTTTAACCACCATGCCACTTGCTGGCCCCATCAAATCTGATATTTTTGAAATGACGTCCTTAGACTTCTTAGAAATTAATGAATATATTCTGAGAGGTCCCCAAATGTATTTTAAAATTTAATTTTGTGTTTTCATTTTTAATGCAACTTTGTTATATAAGATAGAAGGCTTCTTTTAATAGAAATAATCATAAATGAAAGACATTTTCTTACAGAATAACATTTTAGCTTATTAAATCTGTTTCTGGGGCCTGCCCTATTGTCTAAAGTTAAGGGAGCTGCATTCCGTATGGCTGAGCATAGTTCGAGTCTTGGCCCCAGTGGCTTGAAAAAAAAAATACCAGACATATATGCCCAAAGCCCCTACAAGATGGAAGAATGGAGAAAAAGGGATTGTGGTATGACCATGCCCCATGAGGGGGCTGCTTTCTCCTTCTCTCTCTCTACCTCTCTCTGACGAGTGCATGCACCGTCTGGCAATTAAAAAAAAAAAAAAAAAGAAAATCTGTATTTCTTAAATTAGGGTCTATAGATACTATCTTCAGAATCTGTTGGAAGTATTTTTTTAGAAAATACTACTTCCTCAACTTTGAGAAACAGTGTTTTTTTTTTTTTTTTAAAATATGTTGTTTCTATTTTTTCATATTTGATTTACTCTCAGTCCACTGGTTTCTCTCTAAGCCACCAGCCCTGTCTCCAAGTCTACCCTCATCTCTGAAAGTATAGATGAATCGGCAGAGAATTTAGAATTCTTGAGCGATAGTTTTCAATGAAGATAATTCCTTTGAAGATATTTGAAAGTACTGTGTGACTGTATGTATAGGGAGCTGATCCCCTTTGGCATCCCTTTGCCAAAGGCAGACATTCAGAGTGTCACTTAGAAGTCAGAGCTAATAACTGATTAATGGCTCTTTTGGTTCCTGCCTTTATTAGTCTACAGGCCTCAGCCTAGTTCCCGTTAGAGTTGTAAAGCTAATGTTCAAATCAATGTGTAGTTTATTGCCACAGGGTTACAAAGTACTTAGAAAAAACAAATACATATAAGTAGAAATCCTAAACCCCCAAAAGTGAAAATCTGTTTGCATAGTACTTGACCATAGCATATGGTGATAAACAAATATTTGTTTGAATGAATCAAAGATATATCTAGAGGCATTAAAATTAAGCTTTTGGGGCTAGCAGGTGACATGGTGATTAAGACACTGGATTCCTACATGGCTGACCATGATCTGAGTCCCAGACGCCGCAACTTATAAATTACGCTGGGCGCATGTGCGTGTGTGCTTAAAATCCCAAGCTGAGAATGGAGTAGAAGAGATTGTGATGTGACCATCCTCTTTGGGGGATGATTTCTCATTTTCCCTCTCTCTCTCTTTCTCTCTCTCTGGTGAGTGCACGCACTCTCTGGCAAAAACCTATTTAAGTTAAGAACAATCCATGATCTATAAATCTAGAGCTATATGATGATGACATCAGATTGCGCTTATTCATATATTGCTCATTATGTCAGCATACTCCTCTAGCCTCCTATAAGGCTGGTATGCTCTCAGATGGAGGCACAAACATGGGCTTAGGAACTTCTGAGCTCATTTCTGCTACACCACTAACTGTGTGAACTTGGACAGGCTACTTACCCTTTTTGCTCCTTGGTTTCCTGGTGGAAAATGCCGACTTTGAAAGTCTGTTGATGAAATGAAATATGTCAAGTGCCTAACAGACTATTGACTTCATAGTAGGTATTCAGAAAGTTGTGGTGGTGTTATTTTCCCTTGAGTGGATGGGGGAATGACATTGACATCCTGATGAGCCTTTATTGCAACCTGACTCTCTATATGTCCATTCTTCCTAGGTGTTGTGAATAAGGAAAATGCTCTTCGTTAAGCCATATTTGTGACTTCCGATATTTCACTAATACTTTTCAATCAAGAGAACAGCATTGCTAACTTGCCTATCACTTTAAAGTGGTATTTGAAGGATTTGTTGACACAATTATGACTTTTTAATTAGGCACCCTAAAAACCCGATCAGGCCTATTGCTTACTTTCTTTGATTCATCTGTCTTCTCTGCTGTGATCACCTTGTTCCTCCTGACATGGAAGGTATATAAGCTTTTGTAGTGTGAATTTATGTGGTGGAGTATATGAAGACCAAAGACTATCTGTCCGCTCTGTCAGTGGTTTTCAAATTGTCTTCTATGGAACCCTAGCATTTGAACACATTTTTGTAAGTTTATTAAAAAAAAAAATGTGGCCGGGATAAAATGTGTGTTTACCCCATCATTCCAGCCCCAGTCTCAACATGACAGGGCTTGGCATCCTGTGACGTGGAAAGTAATGCTGAAGGGTTCTACAAGCTATAGAAGTTTGAAAGCCACTATATTAATCAGGTAATACATTGGTCCTGGTTATTTAAAACGTATACTTGCAAACAGAATGGTTTATAAATTCTTTCATTACCAGGACTATAAAACTCTTAATGCATCTATATGCCATTACCTGCGCATATTGAACAAGGAAATATGAATGTTTTTTAGACCTTTATCATTCATATTTTATTTATCTATTGTTTCAAACAAAGTTTCCATTTCTTTCATTCTTTTATGTGTGAGAAAAACAGAGTGACAGAGACAGCACCCCCTGCAACAGAATCTTGACACTGTGATCCACCCCTAACCCCAGCCAGCCTGGATCACGAGCATGTGTGTACCTGGTATTCTCAAGGAGGTTTCAGTGCAGCAGATATCAGCTACTTAAATATAAAGAAAAGCAACCTCATTAAACTAATTTACTAGAAGATTTTCTTTTTTTTGAGAGAGAGAGAGATTTTTTTTTTTTTTTTTGCGATAGGATGCACGTACTCTCCAGAGAGACAGAAAGTGAGAAGTTATCCCCTGGGGAGATGGCCACGCCTTAATCCCTTCTCCAGTCTCTTCTCCAGATTTTGAGTACATACACATGTGCACCCAGCATGAGTTTAAGCTGCAGGGTCTGGGACTTGAACAGTGGTTGACTACATGGGAGTCCAGTAACATAACTACTATGCCATCTGCTGGTCCCATTAGAAGATATTTTAAAATTATCACTCTATTGGCATTTTCATATAGAAAGTGTGTTATATTTTAATTGTAAATGCAGTCATTGTAGATTTAGAAAAATCTTATAAATCCTATCATTCAGATGTAATTATTCTTAAAAAATACTAGAGTATTATTTTTTTAGTTACCCCACACCCACGTATGAGGGGGCTTTAAAAAATTCATAGACAGAATTAAAGTTTGAATTTACTTTGAAGCAAAGAAATTTTGAAATCTATGCACAGTTTTTTTTTTTCTTTTTTGGAGAGTTTTTTTTTTTTTTTTTTTTTTTTTTTTGTGCCCTGCCGCCCTCTAAACTAAGGGACACATGCGCTCGCCAGACAGAGAGAGACAGAGGGATAGAAAGTGAGAAGTCACCCCCCAGGGATGATGGCCAAGCCACAATCCCTTCTCCTCCATTCTCCTCTCGGGATCTTGGGCACGCACACACACGCACCCGGCGTGAGTTTAAGCCACCGGGTCCAGGACGTGAACCGCGGTCGACTACGTGGGAGTCCAGCGACACAGCCATTACGCTAACTGCTGGTCCCCTTGCACAATTTTTTCATAAGACTTATTTTCCATGAACTTCTTAAAGACCCTTTCTTTATGGGTATAGAATATTTTAACCTCAATTTAATTTTCAATTGGCGAACTTTTAGGCATTGTAATCCAGTGAACTGAAAACATTCATACAGGACATAGGATGCTGTCCAGGCTGAGTGTGTTCGAACGAGCTAATCATGCTTTAAAGTCCATCTCCAAATCTGTTTTTTCATGTTTTTCCCATTTCTTGTTTGTCCTTTCTTCTTTTGAGTTTACATATTCTCTGAAAGGTCTTGTTTTTCCTCATGACTTCATGACTTCCATGGCAGTAATAAGGGAGGCTGGAGGCTTCCAGACAATAGCAAGGTGAATAAATACATAAATATACTCAAGCACACAAACGCACGTGCACATGCGCACATGCATACACACACACACAAATATAGATACACACATTAACACAAAGGGTGGTTATTTGTTTTTAAGAATTATTTTTCTATTTTAATTTTATTTATTTATTTGAATTTGACAAGAGTGACAGAGCAAGAGAGAGAGGGCAAATGAGAAAGCAATCTGCCAAATTCAGGACTCGAACTGCAGTCGGCCATGTGGGAGTCCAGTGCTCCTAACCACTATGCCACCTGCCGGCTCAGGCTGGTTATTTCTAAGCCAAGGACTGCCTGTAGTAAGAAAATCACGTGCTTTTCCGTTTTTTCATGTTTTCGGAGTACATCTTTGCAGAGTATCAGTGTGACACACTCCTGGTCGTTGCATGCTATGTCTGCCAGCCTGCCATTATCATTTAACTGGAATCTTGTAACCATGTGATGTTGAACTTTTGCTTTGGTATATATTAAGAAAAGTGTTCATTTTGTTTGCATTGTTCCACTTTAGCGTTTGCCGCACTAAATACTATTTCCGTATATTGCCATTATGTACCCTTCATTCTTGTGTAAGCTAGACTGAGAATTGTTTCTGGAATTTGATAATTTGATGGTCCTTTCTTACTAATAGGCAATACAGTACACTGTGAAATGGTGTTATTGAAAAGACATCTGTGGGACCAGCAGGTGGTGTGGTGGTTGAGGTGCTGGATCCTACATGGCCAACTCTGTGGTTCAAGTCCTGGACCCGGTGGCTTTAAAAATACCCTGGACATGTTTCTGTATGCTCTCAAAAATCTCTAGAGAAGAATGGAGGAGATGGAACTGTGGCATGGCCATCCTCCCTCGGGGGTGATTTTCTCACTTTCCCTCTTTCTCTGTCTCTCTCATCCTCTGATAGAAATCCAAAAAAAAAAAAAAAAGAAGAAGAAAAGACAGCTGTGACATCAGATATATTATTATGGTTTTAGAGTTGCTAAGCACATCAGTGGCAGAGCCACTGGTTAACCACAGGGGCGTAAGAAACCACAATGCTTGTACAGGCTCGGCTTTGTCAAGATATACCATCAGCTTCCAGATTGACTTGTTAGATCCTTTCAAAATGGCTTTATACCTCTTGGTCAGTCAACGTATCATTTTACTGCCTTTGTAATTAATTTAATGACAACTTTTAATTATTCAGTGTTATATTGCCATTTCCTACAGAAAAACTTTTTATTTATTTGCCTTAGGGAAATTTTTGAAAGGCAAGAAAATACTTATACAGGAGATTGTTCTCTTTTTGATTACTTCTTTACATTTTGTCCATTTTAACAGGCATGATAAAACGGAATTGGGAATATATATGTAATCACAATAAAGAAAAAACAAAGACCCTCGGAGACAATAGCATTGACACCACATGTGAAGACAGTGAGAACAAGTTTGACTTTTCAGTGATGTCCTATAATATACTTTCACAAGATTTATTGGAAGATAATTCACACCTTTATAGACACTGTCGACGGCCAGTATTACACTGGAGTTTCAGGTTTCCTAACATTCTGAAAGAAATTAAACACTTTGATGCAGATGTAAGTACAAATTATTATCAAAATTCTTTCCACAAAAAAAAGTTGGCTTGAAATGTTTTACTTGTGCATTTGTGAACTAAATGGCTTTATCCATTTCGTTGGGATATAAGAAGGAAAGATATTTAAGCACTGGGATGAAACAATCTTTAACAAACTATAGTGACTCCCAAAGAGTCATTTGTTAATGGTTGTTGTAAAAATCCTTTCAAGAAGGATCCCAAAAGTTTTAAATGTTGGTCAGTTTTTAGACAGTGTCTGGCAACGTATCACGTATTCAGTAAGTACTTCCTTTGGTTTGAAATTGCAGTCTTTCATGCAAAAATTTTATCTAGATGGTACCATTCAAAAAAATCCATCTTGGGCCAGCAGGTGGTATGGTGGTTAAGGAGCTGGATCCCACAAAACCGATGCTGCAGTTTGAGTCTTGGACCGGCAGCTTGAAAAACACACCAGGCACGAGTGCGGGCATGCTCAACATCCCTAGAGGAGAATGGAATAGAAGGGATTGCTTTGTGCCATTCCCCCAGGGCATGATTTCTTATGTTTCCTCTCTCTCTAATCTCTGATAAACATATTCACCCTATGGCAAAAATCTTGTGTTTTTGTTTGAGAGTTTTTTGCTATAGGGCACATGTGCTCGCCAGACAGACAGAGAGAGACAGAAAGACAGAAAGCGAGAAATCACCCCCCCAGGGGGGATGGTCACGCTGCAGTCCCTTCTCCTCCGTTCTCCTCTCGGGATCTTGGGTAGGCACGCACACGCGCCCAGGACAAGTTTTAAGCCACCGGGTCCAAGACTCAAACCGTGGTCGACTACATTGGAGTCCAGTGACATAGCCATTA